TAGCCCCAAGGAAAAAAACAAGGATTTTCACTTGTAGGAATTCACAGAGCCACGCGGAGATGCGTTACCGCTAAAGCGAGTGCTAGTGCCCGCGTCTGCCGCAGGGTAACGGAAGGTGCAAACTTCTAACGCGTTTTTACTTCACGTGTGTTTAAAGGACACGCACTGAACACCGAGGTGCCGCTTTCCTTTCAAACCGCCGCCAATACTCCCTTAGCCCTAAGATCTGCTACCTGAACAGGCCGTGCTTGGAGCAAAATGATTTAATCACTAAAATATTCGCCCATATCATTTATGGTGAGTTTTCGGCTCGCAGAAGCAGGGGACAGTTACGGGGAGGTCAGTGGATGATTTGACGAGACGCAGATCCTGCCTAAGCCCGAGCCCCGATTATAGCACAGCTTCGCCTTGGGTGCAGATGGCTTTCTAATCTGATTACATAACTGGTATTACAGAGTGCGGGCAGGTCCTGCTTGCATTCGGAACAATGTAATTAAATAACCAGCATAATAAATGAAAAAACGAGCACAGAATCATAGATGATAGAGAAGGCACAATTCAGAGATTTGAAGAGGTGGGAAAAGATCCCGCAGCCTGATTTGTTATCAAATGAACATAAGTCTAAATAAAGTACAATCTGTATAATCCCAGACAACAGGTTTCTAACTCACTTTTTAGGTTTCCTGAGATTTGGTCATTTCAAAAGTTGCAATAGTAAAATATTAAAAGAATGGTAGCAAAGTGGGTTTACCTAAGAAAAGTATAGGAAGTTGGGGCTAGGAAAGCTGGGGCAAAGGTGAGTTCCAGGAATTCTGCAGTGTAAATCTGTGCCATGAGCAGCAGCCGCTGGAATCCTACACTCTGTCTTTTGAGACACGTTTTGTTTAGCTTGTTTTCAATACACTGTGAGCACAGACTACCCAGGCTAGGTTAGGAGCAGTTGAGGATTGGCATATTGGATTTAGCTGGCATGATTTCATATGATGGAAAGATCAGTTGTGCATTTTAAATCTCTGTATCTGATCTTCTTTGCATAGTTTGTGAGCAGCTAAAGACTTTATTAATCAGCCATGTTTGCCAGTATGTTAAATTATAAACTGAATTTCAAAATGAGAAGCATCATAGTTTTGTGATCATGATAAGACAGTAGTAGGGCGGAGAAAGATGGTCCTTCTCCAGCCATGAGCTGCTCCTTTTTGCACCCAAGCCCTCCCCTGTGCCTAGAGCTGCCTAGCCCAGCAGAACATAAATTGGTAACGTTAAGCCTGATCTGCTTTACTGCTCCCCTGTGTGATGTCCCAGCACCAAGGGCCAAGAGAAGGGCATGACTGCCTGACCGGCGCAAAAGCAAGGAAGAGCCATCTCCTTTGGTGTCAGTGCTGGTTTAAAATAATTCAGAAATAAGTCATACATTAAGAGAGACAATCACGCCTTTAACAAAAATGGTTATACTGGGGCAAAACTGGTATTTTCCTGTCCTTCTGTATAATCCAGTTGCATCCGCTATGTCTTTGTAGTGTTCTACACCCTGCAGTATGGATATTATGAGCGTATGAAAAAGTTTATGTAACACATGCTTTTATTAAAAGATTTAAACGGTCCAAAAATAAACACTGTATTTTAAGAGTAATCTAGGTGTTACAGGATTAAAACTGATAAACCTGTGTACTGTAAAACCTCAGAAGATTTGTAATTTGCGCCCCTTCACTGCTTGTAGCAATTCAGTTCTGCAATAAGCCCATCAGTAACAACAGGCCTCAGGAATCTGCCATTGAAAGACCTCTTTATGTGGAAAAACTACAGATACATATTAGATATACTTTAGATACATATTAGATATACAGATATATCTTAGGTATGCTTTACTGAATACACATGCCAGCAACTATTTGCTAAGAGACCTCAACAATGAGCTGTGTCAAATACTTTTGCTTCACGAAGCAAGTGCAGCTTAAAGGATGTTTTTAAATGCAACTGCACGTGGGTGACCGTGGCAGCCTTGTACTGAGGGCTGCAGCAGATCCAGTAATCCTTCTGTTTACAAGCTCCTGTTCAGCTCAGATGAAACATTTGCTGTTTTTAAACAGTGAAGGATTTAGAGTCACTGTTTCAGGCTGGAATGTAAAATGAAAAATTAACTCACAGAGTTGTGAATAATAGGCAAGTCCTTGTAGGATACTGCTTAATAGTTATTTTTAATCTTTGAAAAGAAATCTAAAGCTTGCTTACCAGTAACAGAAGCTCTGCAGTTTCCTCCAAATTTGGCTGGTCTCAGGTACATTTTAATATCAAAAAAAAAAAAAGTTATGGTATACTGATCTCACAATCTTATTTGCTGTGAAACCCTGGCTATAGAAATTCAGATCTGACACTGTTTTTAATTACCTTTCACCATCTTCGCAATATTGCCATAGGCTCCCATAAAATACACTGCTCCTTTACATCACCTCCTCTCCTGACATGGACGCTTATTACCAAAGGAAAACCAGGAACTTCTGTATCTCCCAAGTCCTTTTCAGCATCCTCATCTTTGTAGTGTTGTTATCTAGGGGCAGACCTGGCACAGTTCATCCACCAAAATGTAAGGTGCAGTTACAAATTCTTTATAAGATGATTATTTGCATTCTGTCGGAAAAAAAAATTGTAGAGTCTGATGTTAATAAAAATATTTTTATAAGAACAAAATCGTGTGGGTTTGGAGTTGACTTATTTTCCTGACTTGTTGCAGAGTTCTTTCCGGGCAAGAAGAGATGGGCTTAAACTGCAACATTTTCATAACCAAAGAGAAATAATATGTTCTAAAAAGGTGGGTTTTTTTTTGCTTTTTTATTTGTAATTTGTAATGTTCTGATGTGTGAGTAACACCAGCAGTGCTCAACTGCAGTTGAAAAGTATCATTAAACTTGGCAATACCTAAGAAAGGTGTGTGTGAAAAGGCTTTAATAAAATGTTTTTTAAAAATGTAAGAAGTTTTAGAAGACTTTTTATCTGTTTGGTTGTTAATATTTATCAACATTATTAATTCTACAGGTGAGACCTTATGAAACAGATCCATTTCTTTCGCTGCCTGGACCCAAGGGTCAACACATTCAGTAGTGCACTGCGGGGAAGGAATCAGGATGCTACCAACCAAACCTGCTTCTCTCTTGGCTGCACAAGATGAAAGGGCACAAATCAATCCTTCCTCTTGCAGCTTGTGGCATACACATATCATCAACTTAGCAATATTTTTTCTTTTCTAAAAGATCTTAAAACTGTTATTTTATAACAGCTCTTTCAGATTTTGCTTTTAAATTTCTAGCCCTCACAACTGCAGAGGAAAACAGTTCTGCAAAACAGAATAGGTACAAGCAAAACTTCCTGATCTGTTGGACCATGGAAGTCTCAACAGCTGTAAGGCCCCGTCAGTTGCCACGTTTCCCCGGGGCCGCTGCGGGCAGCAGCGCAGAGCCTCACACCAATGCTGGGACTGTTCAGGAGAGTTGGGCTCTCCTTATAGCCTCTCCCAATCCCTTTCCTGGGCGTCACACCTCCAATGCTAGACACAACCCAGCCCCTTTTCATACTCTTTAGTAAGAAAAAAATTCTCCTGGAACTAAGCTTTCCAGCTCCCAAGCATGCAACATTTGTATTAATAGTTGCCTCATTTTATTTGCTGAGAGTAAGCCCTGTGTGAAGCAGGAACATTTACCAAGGCTAGAGGAGGTGGAGGACACAGAGCAGAAGATGCACAGTTTTTTCCCCATGTAAAACAATTCAGAAATGTAAATTACCACTACTCACACTTAAAAACCCCTATATGCAACCTTTAAAATGACCTACTGTACAAACCATGACAAATTACTCCTGTGTGCTCGTACGTGTAAGAAGAGACTATCAAAAAAAACAAAGTGAAGAAAAGGTCTGTTAAGATCTTCAGATGAAGAATGATGTATGAGTTCGGAGTTACTTTTCATATAAAAGAGAAACTGAGCTCCAAGAACAGGAATACTGGGGAGAAGGTAAAAAAAAAAAATCCAAGCAAAAAGCCAAACCACAATGCAAATAGAAAAAAAAAAAAAAGTTCTTGTAAGTTCTTGTAAGATTACGGTCAAAAAAGTTTGGTTAAGTGTAACAATTATTGTGACCAGGAACAGCTGGTGTTCCTAATATTATCTGCATTAGTACCAGGAGAGATTTGTTGTATTTATTTCCTACCATATGACCCCTTCAGTTTCACTCTCTGCTCTGCAGCTGTCCCTAGTGCTGTCTCATGTGAGCGGTCTTTGTGCTAGATATTTGGTATACAGCACAAAGTCACAACAACTTCCTGAACTTTCAGGCTAACACAGCCCAGCGTAAGGAGCCTCCTGTTTGCCAGGAGCTGCTTAACTGGTTATGCAGGCTTTGCAACAGCACACACAAACCTGTGAGGTGCTGAGACAGCACATGTATGCCATGTTAATAAAATATTTATTATTTCCATGCTATAGAGGAAGAATGGGGAAAGCTATGACTACTTCTGGCATTGTTCTTTAAGAACAGCATGGTAAACTAAGTTTTGTTTATAATCCAGCTGCCTTAGGTAGCTCTGTTTTTTTACTTTAATCCTAAAGCTCCTATGATGTACAGAATATAGGAGTTGCTGATATGAAAACATGTTACATATTAGTTGTTTCCTATATGTAGACTTTGGAAATAACATTAAAAACAGGGCTTAATGCAGTGGCCTTTTTAAATGCTTTCTCTGCTTTAAATTTAAATTTAATTAAATCTTAGATTTAATCTTTTTCTGTAACAGAAAAAGTAATAATCTAGAGCTATATTTGCTTTCTCTTTCAAGAAAATTATTATCAGTGAATTTGGGTGACATTAAAATCTACAGCAGTTGTAGCTCACCTTGATCATCAGTCAGGCAGACTCAGTATCTCAGGTACTTACCCTTCCAGCCGCAGGCTGGAGTCCACCGAAGCCAATCAATTTTCACAGCAGAATTTCACTGCCCTTGCTGCCACACCATGACAGATTCCACAGGGGCATCCGGGCTCAAGCAGTGTCTGGGGAGAGACAGAGCCTCTTCATCCAACTGAACGAGTTAAAACCGTCACCATATAATGTACTGCGACCAGAAGTTTGACATCAGAGTTAACATCATGCAGATTTTGAAATTTCCTCAACTGCATCGGTAGCAAATGTTGTGAATCTATTAATTGAACCGTTAATTTAGGTTCAAATGAAAGGTCTTCCTTAATTCTTTCCCTTGGCACGCTCACTGAACTTCTGTATTTGCTTTGTCTAAATACTATTAATAAATAATGGTATATAGAAAAAAGAAATGAGGAAATCGGTAGTGGAAGTGAACAGATGTAAGACTTCGAAAGTTTTCTTTTTTTTTTAAATTACTCAGCCACTGTAGCCCACAACCTTTTCAATGCTCTTCTCTTCCCTGTATCCAGTGTTACTAGTCACTCCATGGCTTCTCTTTCTTCACTTACTGAAGTGAATTGACAACAGGGCTTCAAATTTTAATTGTGCAGCAGATTAGAAACTCAAAAGGGCTTGAAAACAGGGAGCTATAAAACTTAACAGTCATTTTATGCGCTGAATTATTCACTTAGAAGTAAGCTTAAAGTTATAGAGTTTATGCTTCGTCCCCACAATTGTCATCCACATGTGGTTTATAAACTAACCACATGGACTGACCGAAGTCAATGCTGCGGAGATCACTCCTTTTAGAAGAGTCACAGTGACTGAATGTCAAGACAGAATCTGTGCTTTTGCATGAAAAAGATCAGCATAGTATAATGAAAACACAGTGGCAGCTTATTGTGGAACTAGACATGCAGAGGAGAAGGAAAAAAAAAAAAAAAAAAAAAAAAAAAAAAAGAAAAACTTTTTCATTT